GCTTTTGGAACGCGGTTCAAAGCGTTTCGAGCTAAATCAAATAGACGACGCAGTTGATAATCGTTTGTTGGACACACTAGAGAGTGAAACGGCGACTGTGAAATCTGTGACAACGAGTCGCACAACGACACAGCATCCGCTTAATAGCAACGGCCATGCTGCACCGAATTTCATGCACTTCAGTTCCGAAACCTATGAGTCTGAGTCAGAGCCAGAACCAGAACTAGAACCGGCAGAACTTTGGCGTAAAGCAAAGGTGTCAATTTCACCAAAAACCCACGAGAAAGTATATGTGGTGACGCCGCAGCCGCTATTCTTTCCGCAACGTGCGTTGACCAAGACTAGCACAACCACTGCAGCACCGTCTGGCTTAAGGAAAACTGCGCGTTTCATAGTGAGGCCAACACCTGGAAATGGTAAGTTACAGGCACCTACATATGTATATACGCTATTATCTGTCATAGCGATATCATCGGGGAGATATCGAGACCTAACCGCGAAAAAACTTAGGCGACATTTTTGTAAAACTTTTCCTCTTGAGACAGAAATGCATCTTGATCTAGAAGCATTTCAGTGTCAAAAAGAAATGTTGGGAAAATGTTACGTTTTTCACTTCTATTTTACTCTCTTTCCGACCATGGTATGGAGTCAAAAAACATACCTCTTTTCGCAAATCCTGGAAATTATTACTTACTCCATTAGCGCCATTAATACCAAATTTTTTTCGAGGAAAAACTACAATTTTCTACACGTCCCTACAAGACAAATGATAGACTCAGATTCCAGTCACGATTTTTTACTTTGCTCATTTTGATAGCCCCGAGTTACCTTTTCTCAACTGATTGATAGCCATCAATATATCAAATCTTAAACGCCGTGATAAAGACTATCTTAACTTTATACTAACTCAGTAAAACACGATTGTTTCATCTTTTTTCAGCGCTGTCAGACAAACTATTGTTACTCAGCCGTGCCTTAACTCCATTGCTCCATAACTTAACAGCTGAAAAATAGGCACATCTGAATTAGGATAGTTTGTCTGACAGCGCTGGGATAAAATGAAACGATCCTACTTGGCTCAGTACAAAGTTATAATAGTTTATCGTGTTACGATAATTCAGCGCACGACGCACAAGATGGGATAAATTAATAGCTATCGATCACTTAAGATAAAGTTGCTCGGATTTATTGGTGTTATTTTGTAATTTTGACGGATATTTATAATCATTGTTTAGGGATCATTTCCATCATTTCTTTATTTTTGCATACGATGCCGGATTCGACTAAAACCACTTACTAAAACAATGCGATTCTTCTCCGTAAAATGAAAGTTTAATTTTCGTTGCTATGTATTATATTCCTTTGATCTAACTAATACTAGTTATGTGTATTTAAAAATTTTACGTTTCATTTTTATTTCTCCAAAAACAAATGAGATAGTAAACTAGATGTATTTATCATTGTATCAACTTGAAAAAGAGAGTAAGCTCGGATGCAAGCAAGTTCCTGCAGGGGTGGACTTCTCTGTTTTTTGCAATCAACGATTATTCAAGTGAAGAGAAATATTTCCCCTCGTCGATAGAATTGCGATATCGCAAATGTTACTACAGCATAACTGAAAAAAAAATCCTTGTGGATAAAATATGAAATCATACCAGTTACTACGGCATTGATGTTTATAAAATTCATTTTTTATTTACTCAAAATGTAAACTATAAGGCTTGGCAATATTTTATGTGCGGATTTCGTCGCTATTTCTTTCACATTGAGAACATCGTACATTATCCACTTTCCTCTTCCAAATGCTATGCCGATTAGTGGTCCAAACTGGTCGAATATCGCGGACCAGTATTATTTATACCCTTAAAGGCGACACAACTAGCTAATTTAAAAGTTTTCTGGCTAGCGCGCCAAGACTTCGGAATCTTTTCGAGATGCAAGCAGGTGCAGCTTACGATGATCTGCGCTAAGACAGGAACGTACAATACGGTACAGCGGATTGAAGTTCCACTCTGCGGGAGTTGAGCTTTCGATGCGTTCTCCTTGTATTAAAAAAAAACATACATTCAACATTCCACTTTATAAAGTTTGCTCTTTATCTTATTGCTCTGGTCGCAGTCGATATTCTTCTGCTCATATTTCAGTCGTTTTTTATCTGGCTGTTTGTCATCAGTTCTAATTTACCTTACATTTTCCTAGCGTTATTATCGAATCCCTCTTAAAAAGTCCTAACATCGATTTATCAGGATCTAAAAAATCTATTATCATTATTATTATTATTAAATCAATTTTACTTGGATAGGGTTTTAAAACCAAAATAATTATAACCACAAAAACTTTAACTTCCCAAAACTCACAACACCCCTTTCCAGGCAACAACTCATCAACGCCAGCGCCTAGCCTTTACCGTCCTGAGCTCTTCGGTCTCATGGGTCTCTCGGCGTATGTACCAGCCAAGCCAGTGGAAATCATCGATGGAAATTCAAAAGTAAATCGCGCTAAAATCAAATAAAATTCAACATACAAAATACCCGAGAAGACGACAGCCATACTCAACTCATATGCATTTTCTCTTCTTCTCCAAATCACTAAACATCGAAAACACACCACTCCAACTACACTTCATACACTGACATAATTCATCAACATTCCACACAACTGCACACAATTCACATACCTACAAATAGGTCCTGAATATTATAACAACGACGCCAGCTAGTGAGCAACAGGATGCAACAACCAGACCAATGGCATTCGTCGAGCAGTTGTCGATGGTGAAGAAGGGTAGACGACTGCGATCCACAATGTCGCCATCGCCAAGATAAATACATATACATAAATACTCGTGCTGAAAATTACTCACAACTAATCGAAATGGAACGATCTTGTGGACTCATATAACTTTTGTAATATAATTTTTCAATCGATATTTTGGTGTAACTAAATGCGTATGTCATATTTAAGCGCATTTAACATTTAGTAACTACTCTTAAGGATGTAAATTAATTCAAGCAATTATATATAGTGAAAGCTCTAGGATAAATCAGTCCTAATGTGCTGAATTTAGTTTTAAGAAAAAAAGTAATATGGACCCTAAATCGTTGTATGCGAAATAAAGTTTTAAAATTAAATTGAATTAAAAAAAACGACGACCAAAGCGAGACAAATAAGTGTCGAACCTACTAAATATGTATTTTTGTATTAAAAAATACACAAATCTTAAATTTTTTGATACGATTTGTCCTTTTAGCAAAACTTTTTCCATTTTAAGCTATACGTTTTTTAGCTCATTGTGGGAATCATAAATTTAATATTTTTATGTACTTCCATCTATTTAATAGCTTTAAATAAGATTAATTTTAAGCGTATGATTGTCTAGATGATTTTAATAAAGTAAAAACTAAAGATGATAAATGTTTTATGAAACGAATTCAGCCATTTCCCCTCTAGGATAACTAAACTTGGAAATTATTAAAAAAAAAAGTTCAATTGAGCTTCTCCTGCCCCATGATAGGTCCATTCCCACAGCAGGAAGTTTTCCCTCAAAACTCCGCCAGACCGGCAAAAATCAATTTCAAAGCCCACCGACAAAAAAATACCAGGCGAGCAGAAATGGGCAGCAAGCGGCAGCGGAATTTTTTTTTTTTTAATTTTTTCTTCCCTGCTCCTGAGCATAGGCTACACTTCCGCGACCGGAAATTTTATCCGAAAAATTCGGGAAGTCCGGCAAAAATCAATTTCGGTGGCCCACCGACAAAAAAATACCAGGCGAGCAGAAATGGGCAGCAAGCGGCTGCGGAATTTTTTTTTTAAATTTTTCATTTCCTGCCCCTGAGCATAGGCTACATTTCCGCGACCGGAAATTTTATCCGAAAAATTCGGGAAGTCCGGCAAAAATCAATTTCGGTGGCCCACCGACAAAAAATACCAGGCGAGCAGAAATGGGCAGCAAGCGGCTGCGGAAATTTTTTTTTAAATTTTTTATTTCCTGCCCCTGAGCATAGGCTACATTTCCGCGACCGGAAATTTTAT